AATCACTAGAAGAGGACCTGGTGGAGAACTTCAGGTCCCCCTCTGCTGATTGACAGCAGCAGTGGGCGGGTGCAATAACTAGTTTGCCATTGGCTATTGCAAAGTGAAATAGCCAATAGGAATCTAGCTATGAATTCCTATGCTGTATTTTTTTTTTCTGACTGGCGGTGGCCGGCGGCTCCGTTGTCAGAAAAAAAACCAAAAAAAAACTTTCCGGGAGAAAGTGTTTCTCTCCCGGGCGGCCTGGAGCCGCTATCCAATAGCGGGAGACTCCCGGAGCGTCCGGGAGAGTTGAGATGTCTGTGGATCCGACAACAAAAGTTCAGCTCTGCATTCCAATAATATATGCATGACTCGGAGGCTGTGACATCTGAACAGGTCGCCCCTCGTTACTTGGGGTTAGTGAACATATTTAAAGTTTTAGCTTTTAAGTTTAGCGTTGGTGTGTTTAAAGAAGAACCCCGGACATATTATACATTAAAGAATGCAGCTTCCTATTCATAGGAATCCATATGTTGTAGTACCGGCAAGGAATGCTGTCACTTCAAGTTATCAGCTGATCAGTATTCCAATGGCAAGGCCTCACATAAAACGTGGATCGTTCTGGCATCACCTGGCTAAGTGCTGCATTGGTTACAGTTTGCCTGATGTACCAGACAAGATGAAATCAGGCTCCTCTACGCGGTGTGTTACCATAAGCCCAGGAAGCCGAAGACTATTTTCCAAAGAGAGTTGCGATCCACCACCTGTCTCCACTGCGGCTCTACTTGTACCTTCATCTTTGCATCTGTCCTGATCCCCTCTGAACTCGGGGCAAATATAATCTTAACCCTTGCAGTGGGGCTACCCAGAGGCGTAACTAGAAACTTCAGGGCACCGGTGCAAGAAACCATGAAGGGCCCCTCAGCCCCACACCGCCATGGGAAGGCAGTATAAAAAGGCACCGTGCGGTTAACAGAAAGGTCTCCAGCAAGCACGGGGTCTCAGGCAGCCGCTTCAGTTTAAAAATTTAGTAATGGTATCTGCGCTTAGCATCGGGGCATTTTCACAAATACTTGTGAAAACGTCCAGTATTGGCACTGGTGCATCCCTACTTAACAATATAATGTATTGCTGGAACTTGTAGTCCTGCGTAGTTGGTGGTATTCTGCATTGCTGTATAATTATTATACAGCAATGCAGAATACCACCAGCTACGCAGGACTACAAGTCCCAGCAATACATTATAATGAAAATCAGCAATGCTGAATACCACCAGCTTCTCCCACCACCGCCGTCCCCCTTTCCCCCTTCCCGGTCCAGCCTTCACCCATGTAGACTCACCTGACTCCTGCAGCACCTTCTTTGTCTCAGCAGCCAGGGGGCGGAACTAAGCGGAGAGGGTCCTCTCCCACACAGCAGAATGTGCTGCCTGGCGGTGACACATCACTTGCACAGCCTCTCCATCCCCGCACAGCCACCTAAACATGCCCCATTTCTACTACTGCGGGTGGCAGAGCGGCGGGGAAGAAGCAGCACTATCTTGCGGGGCAACATGAGGGAGCTGCGGGTATTCTTATTCCTCTCTGCCACCCCGCCCCAACAGGCAGAACGTCAGGGCCCGGTCGCATCTGCGACCGCTGCAATCCTGGTAGTTCCACCAGTGGAGCTACCCCTGCACTGCAAGGGTTAACTGGCTTGTTTTGTCTATGGAGCTAAAATAACAGAGATATACCCACCCGAGCCCAGATCCTGGCCGGCTGCTAGACTGGTCAGCCACTTTCCTCCATGGAATGACACTTGAGTACTCACGTCCTATACACTGTATAGGATGTGAAGACTCACAGGACCTTGGACCGCTGGAGTGGAAGGGGGACGAGGCTGAAGAGATCAGTCTAGGAGCCAGCTGGGTCCATGGCTCAGGTGAGTATATCCCTATTATTTTAGCTCCCTAGGCAAAATGAGCACACGATGTGCAGTGTGGGGGTCCTTATACAGCAGAGCTCAGAGAAGGGAGGAGAAGCACCAGAAACCAATCAGTTGTGCTCATGCGCTAACAAGGAGCATGCTCACAAATGGGCTGCTTTTGCTTTCACTGCCCAATCACAGGCTGGGGGTGGGAAGTGGACATGTAAGTGTTGCCGGACTACAGCACAGAAAATTTTAATCCTTTGGAAGGTAAAACATCACTCATATATGTATTTCATCTTTGTATTTAACTGTGTGCCTGTAGCTCAGATTTATACCCCATTCTCTGAAAAGTCCCTGAAAATGTTTCCTATTGCATAATTCTGCTTTATGTTGGAGTATCAAACAGCTGCGCGCCGAGGACGGGCGCCTTCCTCCAAACAGGACTGCTGAAAACTCCACTTGGTAGGGAATAATTAAAGAGACTGAGCAGCGGAGGTGCTCCCATCACAGCACATAGGCTTCTCTCTGACATATCCCAGGGATTAGATCCGCAGCCAGAGAATGAATTAGCATTGTCGATGTCTCCGCAGCTGCCCAGAAGAACACGTGTGTACTCGGAGGCGCAGGTGCGTGTAATGAAATATGCACTACCATCTCTGCACAGATAAATTGGCTTCTGTCAAGTTTGGCTGCAATGGCTATAAACAGGAGCGTCCATGTTAAGGAGCAGCTCTAAGCGGAATGTTATTCATGAAAAGAGCAAGGAAGGGCTAAAATCTCAATCACACTTTCATTTGTATTATAAATGAAAATATATCATCTGTTCACCTTTTCACTTACTGCATCCTATAGCAGCAGAGAGGAAACTGCTGTAGTACATGATATACTGTACATTCATATGACTTTCTCTAAGGACCCGTTCACATCTACATTATATGTTCCTACATACACTATTTTGCCAAAAGTATTTGGGCGTCGGCCTTTAAACGCACATGAACTGTAATGGCATCCCAGTCTTAGTCAGTAGGGCTCAATATTGAGTTGGTCCACCTTTTGCAGCTATAACAACTTCAACTCTTCTGGGAAGGCGTCCACAAGGTTTAGGAGTGTGTCTATGGGAATGTTTGACCATTTGTGAGGTCAGGTACTGATGTTGGACGAGAAGGCTGGGCTCGCAGTTTCCGCTCTAATTCATCCCAAAGGTGTTCTATCGGGTTGAGGTGCAGGCCAGTCAAGTTCCTCCACCCCAAACTCGCTCATCCATGTCTTTAGGGACTTTTCTTTGTGCACTGGTGCGCAGTCATGTTGGAACAGATAGGGGCCATCCCCAAACTGTTCCCACAAAGTTGGGAACGCACTGTGTGCTTCAGCATGCGCTGACCCCGCTCTGTCATTTTACGTTGCCTACCACATCGTGGCTGAGTTGCTGTTGTTCCCAGTTGCTTCCACTTTGTTGTAATACCACTAACAGGTGACCGTGAAATATTTAGTAGCAAGGAAATTTCATGGAACACCTGAATCTAATGATTTGGAGGGGTGTCCCAATACTTTTGGTACTATAGTGTATTTGCTTAATATATATGCAAGCTGCAGCTCCTGCCCAGTAATACAGTACAGATTATATTTTAGTGTTTCTGTGTCCTCACAGGAAGTCTACGTTCTGAGTTTTATCCATATACTTACACTGGATATATCATTTGGTGGCCCATCCTGCAAATAATGTTCTCACAGCGGTTACGCTATCACGACCCAAAACCTGACATGCCGTTAGCCATTTAAGTTCTCACTTTTATATCCTTATATGAAGTATAAATGTAAAAACGTAGCAGGCACATAAAAATAAAGCTATTATATTGACAGCATCTCTGACATTCAAATGTTGTTACCTGATATTCATTCTCTCACAGCTTGTTACACTACCAGGATGCTAGGTCTGACTTACGATTAGCTACTAGAGTATACATCTATGTAGCTTTTCATGACTAAGGTAGCTCAGAGGTCCCTTTCATTGAACACCTCTACCATTAAACCCAATCCCACTCTTAACTAAATAATACGCTACACAACAGGTGGAGTTTAAATGGCCACAGCAGCCTTTTATCACAAAACTTTATAAATAACATTGCATAAATAACAACAACAACCAATAACCGTACTGTATACAAAATTGTTTGGTTTCAAGGTCCTTGAAGGCACTGTCACTCTATCTATATACAGACCAGTATCTGCGGGCACATTTATACCTGAAAGCCCACAGCTGCCATACCCCGCCTCAGGGACGTAATTAAATTGCCCGCAGACCCACATTGGTCCCTATTACCCGGCCATAACAGTTTGAGCTTGCCACCACAGAAGGACACCCACACCACAGATGGGTCCCCTCGTCAAGGTATCCAACCACAGACCAATGCCTTCAAGGATCCAAACCGCCAAGCCACAGCTGTGACAAACCATACCACAACCACAGAAACCACACCAAGGGCAGGCGGGTAGGAAATTCGTCTCTCTCTTCTGCCCGGTCACCAGCTGGACTCCTGGTAGCCTCCTTCCTGACTCCCCTCCGAAGCCACTCCTGGAAGGCCATTATCCTCCAATCTGGTAAGTGACCCTCCCGTGACCTCTTTCCAACTTTTCCTTAAACTTTTCCTACCATAGTTCCCCTTCCTACTTTTGTCATGTAGGCCTTACGCTTATTCCATTTCCTTCCATAGCTCCAGGCCTTTCTGTATATAAGGTGTGATTGTAAACACACAGTATAGCAAGCAAATGGAAGTGTAAGAATGATCTGTACAACATTCTACCAATAAACATCCCCTGTAAACGGTATACAATTTATATGGTGCATCCTGGAATTGATTTTATCACAGCTATTACTCAACTCTGACATACAGTTAGCTGTTACCTTACAGGTTTAACCTTATATGAAGTGTGACCATAAAACAAAATGTAACACAGCAAATAAATAAAAATGAATAATTATATTAAAAAAGTTCCTTCTAGGAAACTTTTCAGTAAACGATCAGTCAAATTGCTCACCAAAAATACCTGATAAATTACAGCAAAAAAAAACTGGAGGCAAAATAAATTGTGAGATCTCCATGTGGACTGACCTGTAATGTCTGGTGTCTTTAATGGCGCGATCACTTGGTATCCTCTCACTCTCCCGCTGGTTGAACGCATACAGCCTGTAGGGGTCCTCCCCAGGCTTCCATCTCTGGGCGTTCAGGTATCGGCGTTCATCAAACTGGTCCCACAGATCATCCCAATCCACATCCGCATCCTGCAGACACACAGAGAAAATTCAGAGAACACAGTTAGCTTTCAAACCCACCCTGAGAATGTCTGACAGCTGTCATATCCTATTGTAAGAGAAGGGGTCTGATGCACACGAGTCAATGGAATTATTTTCCTACCAACATCGTGTTTCATTTTTAAACAAATAACACATTTGCTCACATTGCTGTTCTTTGTCTAAAACTGAACTGTGTTTTGTTATATAGGCAGCTTAGTTACAAGGAGAAGCTGTTTTTATTAAAGTGCAACAAGGAAACGATAATGATTGGGCTTACAAATTAACTTTAAGGCCCTTTGCCCTGTGAGTATCTGTGAATTTTCAATTTTGAGTGAATAATGCCAAAAACAAATGTTCTTAATATATTTTTTTACCAGTATGAATGTAGTGTGGTAATAATACAATATGATCACTAGATGGAGCGGAGGAGCATAGAAAAAATAAATACGTATACCCTTGCTCATCAGCTCCATCTAGTGTTCTTAATGTATTATTACCACACTCTACATTCGAACTGAGAAAACATACATTAAGAACATTTGTTTTTGGCCACTAGATGAAGCTTGGGAACACAGTAACTGAGTATTTATTTACTATGCTCCTCAGATCCCTCTAGAGGTCATATTGTGTTATTACAACACACTAGAGGAAGCCGAGGTGCACAAACTATTTACTATGCACCTTAGCTTCATCTAATGGCCACAAACAAATGTTCTTAATATATGTTTTCTCAGTTGTAGTGTAGTGTGTTGTAATAATACATTATGGCCACTAGATGGAGCTGGGGAGCAAGGGAATAAGTATTTATTTACTATGTTACTCAGCTTAATCTAGTGGCCATATTGTATTATTACAACACACTACATTCAAACTGGGGAAAAATATGTATTAAGAACATTTGTTTTTGCCATTATTCACCCTAAATGAACAAATTGTTTATAAAAGACCCCTAAGTGTCAGCATGTCGATCCAAATCTCAATCTCTGCTTTGTTGGGCAGTGGCTCTTTCTACAAAGCCACCTGAAGCTCTGGATGGTGCCTTCCCTGATCTCTTGATCAATCTTGGTTGATACTCAGTTTTCTGCTAAAGTCTGAACCCCTCGCCCCTCCCCAGAACTTTCAATTTAAGCCATGCCTCTCCAGTTTCTGTTTGCCAAATTACTGTGCCAGTATCTTGCTTCATGTTGCTACTGATGTACGGCCTCCTTATTACCACTACTGACTGACTGTACTTGTTCTAATTAATTCTTGGCTGTCGATTCATTGACCACATTTATAGCGCACACCTGATACCTTTGGCTACTGACTTTGGCTTGATCACCAACTAAGCTTCTGCTTGCTCCTATACTATTTCCATCTGCTTTTGTACTGAACCCGGCTCTTAGCAACCTGAGCCACTCCGGCCAGCGTCCTTCCCAGCTCCTGGCAACTAGTGACATCACAGGTTTCTAAGAGCTGGGTGGGGAGATGTGTATGGCCCTTACACATCTCCTGGCTCTTAGCAACCTGGGATGCTCTGGCCAGAAAGGAAGCGGCAGGCACACTGCAAACATTGGTTATCAAAGCAGCCATGCTGGCCCCCCACATTACCCAAAGAGAGGCAACTTCTGTTAAAAACCATCAACCTGCCTGCTGATTTAGCTACTGGACTCCCAGCCTGATGCCATTTGGAGGGAAGTCAATGCTCTGGCTAATTCTCTTATGTATAAGTTTCAACTTGAGCTATTGAGCTGTGTAAACTACAATCACAGAAGAACCCAAGAAGAACAGAAGGAACGGCACTAAAAGCAATAGATAAAGGGAAGACAGGAAGAACTACGGCAGGATTGTTAAAGAAGTACATAAATGGGTCGACCACCCCAGCAGCCAAGCACCTAAAGGTTGATCACACTGATTGATTGATGCCCTACATTGATAATGTGACAGTGTCTCCCTCAAGAGGACCTAGCATTAGATATCTATTTTTTCATGGCAAGTCCATGGAATCTCCACCTAGGATCCCCTACTAAGTCAGATCAGAACAGAGATGGACCTGACATCCATTTTCATTCCTATTTTCCTCCATCTTGGAATGGAAAAATAACAAACCCATTGAATGACTATGGGTACCCAGATATACAGAAAATTACCTGTGTGAGCTTTAATCCACCCACATTCAATCAGGTCAGTAAAAGTGGACTAGGACGCAGACTTTTTACATTCAGTCCAATGGACCTAAACAGACCAAGAAGTGGGAGGATATAGGCGAACGCATATCTGCTTGCATCTGGCCACCCATAGGGATGCATTGCAGTCCGTTTTTTAATCTGTGCAATCACGGGTCAAAGATGAATTGATGAAACACTCGTATAAAAGGGGCCTAACTCTCAAGTATTTCAATGTATTTATTTCTTCTGCTACAGCCTCTCATCTTGTGACTTACTACAAAGTTACAATGTTGCAGTCTGATCGCTGGGGCAGAAGAGATTAAGTAAATGCTTCCTCCTGCCTGCAGCAAACTGATGATATCATCACAGCCTAAGCAAAGTCATTGCACTGGATCTTAAGGATGGTGTTTTATGATAAGCCATCCCTCCTTCCCCCCATGCCAAGGTGTGATCCTTGACTTTGCCCCCCTCACCTTTAGCAACTCCCTTCTCATTGGCCGACCTTTACACAGACTCTCCCCCCTTTAGACCATCATCAATGCTGCTGCTAGACTCATCCACCCATCCAACCGCTCAGTGTGTGCAAACCCCCCCTCCTCCCCCCATACACACACACACATCTCTGACAATCCCTCCACTGGCTTCCAATCGCCCAAAGGATACAATTCAAAATATTAACAACCATTTACAAAGCCATCCGCAACTCTGCCCCCGGCTACATCTCCAACCTGGTCTCAAAGTATCACCCTAACCGTCCCCTCCATGCTTCCCAAGACCTCCTGCTCCCTCGTCAACTCCTCCCATGCTCGTCTCTAGGACTTCTCTAGAGTCTTTCCCATCCTTTAGAACTCCCTACCCAAACCTGTCCGTATAGCTCCTACTCTGACTGCCTTTAGGCGATCCCTTAATACTAATCTCTTCAGGGAAGCCTATCCCACCTCAACCTACCCACTGAATTATCACTTTCTCAGACAATTCATCCACACATAGCTACCACCTCATGTATCACTTGTCCCTCCCTTTTAGATTGTAAGCTCTGAAGGGCAGGGCCCTCCTTACCAGCTTGTCTTGATATGTACTGTAACTATAATGTCGTCCTTATATTGTAAAGCTCTGCACAAACTGTTGGCCCTATATAAATCCTGTATTATAATAATGATAATAATAATAATAATAATAACATACTGTGGCTGTATGTTGTGACATATCAGGAATTTCTTCCTGCAGATAGGTCTACTTCTGCAGCTTTGTGCATGCTATAAGCAAACCCTGAATAACTTCTACTTGTCATAATGCATAAAGAGATCAGCAGATTTATCTGCAAAACAAGTAAAGATGCTCCACTGTCTAACCGCAAATGAAAGCCGGGGCATCGCTTAGTGATGAATTTCTTTGCAGTCGGTCCGTTGCTTTTCGCAAGAAAGTTGAAACTTTGGAGAAGTGTGATATTTATCCGATAATTGATTCTTATTCACTTTGCTGCTGCACATTTATCATGTTAATAAGAGTCTGAAAAGCGTTGATGACACTTTCTATTTATGAGTCTATGAGGAGGAACACTGTTAAGCAGTCGGCATTCACTGAATGCTGACTGACAATAAATAGATTTTTTTAAATGAAAGTGTTTACCGGGCCGTGTTGGAAATGTTCATTTATCCATGCAGGAAAAGTGTATTGTCAATGGAGAATTTAAAGGGGCTATCCGTATTTTATTAAATTTGTACAGGAAAAAAATAAACAGGAGCTTTTAGCCTATAAGCGTAGGCCGCTGCTGAATGGGCCAGTTTGCTCAAACCCTGATGTGGAGCTTCAAAATTGATGCTGCTAGGTTCAATCTCACATCAGCTTCCCTATGTAATGCAAATTTACCAAAGTCAGTGCCCAATGCATCTCACCGGCATCTGGCACTGTCCTGAAGCCTCATCCTTGGCTAATCTCAACAGAAGAGGCACAGGTAGGCATCTATGCTGCCTATTCTTTAACCCTACCAGGCCCAGGTCTCCACTTTTGAGGTGGCCAGACCACTTTTGCAGTTTTTCATTTTTATTTTTAAAAATAATTTTTCACTTACACTACATCCCCACCCACTCCACCCTAAACCATCAGTTTTTTTTCTGAAAGCATACATATAATAAAAAGATGGTGCTACTGATTTTGTAAGTCCCATGATAGCAGGGTGTCCCGAGGCCGGGTGTCCCGAGGCTGGGTGTCACCCAGAGCGGAGACGGGATGACACCCCACCGTGACGTCATCGCGCATGCACGTGATGTTGCCACACGCGTTCGTGATGACATCATCGCGTATTCGCGGCCATCTTATCGACGCCTGCCAGCGGCCATCTTGGTGATGGACACCGGCAGAGAGAGGAGGGGACTTTCACCTGGCGGGATGAAGTATGCCGCCGGGTCCCGTCCTCTCTCCTGACACTGTCAGGCTCTCAGTACACTTTTCAGAGGGGGTGACACCAAAATGACTGTCAGTCATTTTGGTGTCCCCCCTCCATTGGGGTCCCCCGGGAGCGGGCCGCCCCCCCCGCACCCACCTTCTGATGCCAGCGCATGATAGTTGTGCAAATGTTTACCAAAACAATATGCTTGATAAAAATACACTATGGAGATGATTTATGAATATGCTGGCTGTATGCCATTCACACGGCAGCATTGTCACCACTTAATGGCGCCAAAGAGCATAGGAAGTAAAAATGACCTCTGTAAAGACATTATTATGTTAGAAATTATTTGTGATTTTTAGTTTTACCGTCTTGTTCTACTAAAAGCCTTTACAGGCAGCTCTATTGTTACAGGCGTCTTGGAGTTAACGCCAGCACATTACTCAGACGTG